GGCCTCTTTTAAGGTTTTTCTCCTCATGATATACATAGAATATGTTTTTTCAATAATGAGGGAAGCTGTTCGGCACTGGAGTTCTTTCTTAAGCTGGTCAACCTCGATCGAAAGGTTATTCCGCTCAGATCTAGTGGCCTGGAGGCTGACATCAAGGTCACGGATAGTGGAGTTGTAAACTTTATTATGCGTTATGACCTTCATATGTCTCTCTTCCAATCGGTCATGCTTTTCCGAAGCAGCAACAGCCTCTTTAGCTTTGGAATTCAAGACTGCCTCCAAATTATTCAATCTTTCAGTAGAGGAAGCCTCGCGACCGACAGTAGCAAGAACAACATTTTTGACCGCGACCCACTCAGCTACAAGGTGGCCTCTTGGCTGAAGGTCATCACCTCTTGCTCGCTTTGCTGCAACTGAGCCTCCAACTCAACGGCCTCAGCAACTTGTGCTTCCAATGTAGGGAGGCGAGCAGTAATTTTATCCCGCTCGGCCAACAGTTGATCCCGCTTGGATGTGAGTTTTTCTTTATAAAGATCAACCTCTGGAGGCCCTCGGAAGTAAGGAAGGTTTCCTACAAAGCAAAAGTTCAAAATAAAAATCTTGTCATAGCAAAGATACAAGGAACAACAAAGGAAACATATATTGTACTGCTGTTGCATTGTGCATGGCATTATTTACCATACACTCTCCCGAGAGAGATTGTATTTTGTTCCTATCTTTCTCTGAAGCCAGAGGCTTTAGGTAATTAGCAAGTTCCACTAGTCGGGACAGCAGATGGAACCCGATAGAGATCGAGAGGGAAACATTCCTCCCCCCTAAGGATCTTCGGAGAGGGCGAATAGTTATGCCTCAAATTCCCATGGTCTGGGGGACTGGGGAGGAGGGACATCCTCTTCTCGAGTGTCCGCGGCTGTGGAGAGGATGTAGCAGTTACTGGTGGAGAAGGCACAATTGGAGAGGAAGTAGATGAAGCTGATAGCTTTGTAGGTTGAGAAACAACTGCGGCAAAAGGTAGTGCTAGTTATTGGTTGCTCGCTAAACGAAGACAGAAAAAACATGGTACCCAGCCTCATGGTATCGGGATCAACGACTGGGCCGGGAAGTGAGAGTTGTCATCTTCTACTATATCACTCTCTCCCTAGAGCGTCTAGACCTCGTCCTCGGCTGGTGTAACAAGTTCAACAGATCGAGCATTGAATTGATGAAGGTCTTCTATGTAGAGAATCCCCTTCATCACTGGCTCCTCCATCATCATCAATCACCACGGTGTCTGTGGCTGGCTCGGGCACAATGATCCTTACCTTTATATTTTTACCCTTAGTCGTAGAGGAGCGTTACCTTTTTTATTGTTTGTTCTCCAGTCGGGGACTCCGAGAGGAAACACCCACACTGGAAGAAGGTCTGGCGATACCTCTTAGGGCGAAGGCCTCCTGCAACAACCTCACTGCATCTGCGGGATTAGCCAAAATGTCCTCCTCGAGGACGATAACAGAGCCTTGCGGAAGACTTGAATTCAACAGAATGAGAAGTTAGCCAGTTTTCTTATATGTGAGATAAAGAACAATATAAACTCAAGAATCAACTTACCATGATTTTTGGCCTTCCATCCATATTTGAGGGCCAGTTCTTTCCCCCGGCGGGTCTCAGGAGTGGTAAAATCCAAGATTTTCTGGACATACTAGTCCAAGCCTTCAATCTTTGGTGGTGTCCACTGAGTTGCTGAAATAATAGGAAAAAAAGGATCAACGATATCATGGAACAACCTTTAACTGGAAGAAATGGTGGACGTTAAACTTACATGTACGATTCCATGATTCATGAAATGATGGAGTTGTGGACGGGATAATGTCCCTGATAGCAACTATAACAAACCGCTCCATCCAGCCACAGTCATTGTCGTCATCCATACTGGTGAGCAAAGCATGATGACCATGTTTGCTAAAGTTTATCATTCACCTACGGAAAATCTTGGGGGAATAAAGATTCATCAATCGAGCCAGGGAGAGCTCCTCCCCCATCTCCTAGAATAGCCACCGAAGACAGGCTACCGTGCTCCACATAGAAGAACTCACTTGTGCCAAGCAGACTTGATAACGGAGGTAAAACTCCAAGATTACAGAGCCAAGTGCCTCGCTCAATAAAAATGGACCCAAAGTGAAGGGATACGTGTAAACACACGTACAACCCTTCTTGGGGAATGTTACCCGCTCCGCTAGATCGGGAGAGATGGTGTTCAAGTCATGGCAACCACAGTTTTCCTTCACATCACAGATGCTAGAAGGACGAATGGAAGAAGGGTATACACCAACAGCCCATATGCGCGAGTTAGCAGAAGGAAGCTTCTCTTTGAAGTCCTTAGACGTAGTATGATATTTAGGGATAATGGTGTTCACCATAGGAGGAGCGACATCATCAGTGTTTTCTTTGTTCTTTAAAGAAGTGGAGTTTCTGGAAGAGGAGACCATAGTTAGTAGAAAGAAGTAAGGGTTTCTCTGAAGAAAGAGGATAAAATCAAGAGGGAGTTGAGTAAAGAAAGTTTGAGAGAGTTCGAAAATTATGAAGTGTAATGGAAGAAGATTGAAGCGTATAAGTAAAGGAATAGGCAGCTAAAATCATGACCATGATTACCTCGAGAACTAGTGAAAGTATTGTTGAATCGTGGGATGATGCGTGTTCGAGGCATTAAATGCGGAGAGACGTTCGTCAAATTAAGCGTCAGAAACTTTTTAGATGGAGTCAGTAAATTTCCCGCCAAGAAATGTATCTTTACCAATTTTCCGATGACACAAAGATGTGCCACCGAAATGCATGAGGATTATTTGTATAGGATAAAATCGGTTCATTTTAAATGCTTGTATAATAGAGCGACACGCGGAATCAGAGACAAATGAAAAGCGAGACATGTGAAAATCAAGACCGGAGACAGTAATCTTGGTTGGCACCGGAAGCCCCCGAAGGGAATGTTGCTCATGAAGACAAATTAATTATCACCTGATAGCATTCTTCTGCGATATTGAATACATAGTCTGTTATAGAGAATATGACATTCATAGCCTGGTATTACATATTCTTCAATGGCCCCCATAATCGTCATTTAAGAGGGGCTTGATCCTAGGACCTTGTTCCCTAGATGCTACTATAAATAGGGATTTCAACAACCATTGCAGGGACACAAATTTTCTGACAAACTTATGTTATATACATTACTCTAAGCTCAATAACATTTTATTTCTCGCTTATTGTTATTATTATTGTCTTCGGAAGCTCTTCTTCCAGAACCATGCTATCTGCTATCTCATCTCTATTTCAATACAAAGTCTTGCATTTTATTTAATTTATTTATCATTTTGAGATCAAATCGATTCATTTGTCTATAAACCACGTATAAATTCAACTGTATCGTTTTACGGGTAAACAACTACCCCAATGACCGAACAGATTAACCCTCAGATTGGATAGAAGGCATAATTTTCACATCATCATTTTGTTATCATTTTGTTAATTCCTTATGCTGATACTCCAGGGATAAATTTTCCTTCAAAATATCAAAATCACACTTTCATAACAACGAGGAGTGTGGTGCGATTGGTGAGACCCTCCCCTCTATTAGTCGGACCAATGAATTTCGATTATCGGACAACACGAAAAGCTATTTCTTTTTCTCTTTCTTGCTGCAAGTTTGAGTGAAATTTTCAATTTTTTTCTATGCTTCTTCCCGTCCATGTGCCTACTTGTTCAGTTGTTTGCGTCGCCAGTTGGAAAAGCTCCCTCCCCATCGCCAATAAATAAGAAAAACATTGCATCTCCTAAATATGCTTTGAATAATTACAGCTTTACCATTAACTAACAGTAAAAACTAGTTTTATGGGTTTAAACTTGCCTTGTTTTTTTCCTTCTCAATCTATCTGTTTTAAATGGAGCGTAATAGATAGTAAGATATTCATATAGCTAACCGTAACTAACTTAGAATTGAAGTATAGTTTTTGTTACTGTTATTTCTTTTTATTTTTAAAAGAATCAATGGTATATGTTGAAACCATCAAGGCTGTAAAATAGACCATCAATATTCCAGGTTTCATTATTCCATTTGATAAACTACATGCAGAAAGCAAATGAGTGCCAAGACTATGAATATGTTTCTGGGCCTTCGGGCCATAGAATTTGTCTGCTGTGGGCTGCAAAACCTAACAATGTAATACAATGTTCTCCAGCATATTGATTTTCTTTTTATCAAATGTTCCTTCACAGTGTCTCGCTCTTGGTTTTAAAGCAAATATACATGAGAATGTCAAAATAAGTTGGAGAATATATAAAAACACAAGGATATATCTACTGTTTTCAACATGATTATGTGTAAATTGGTGACAAGACAATATGATGCTTTGAGATGGAATATGCATGCTGCGCAACCATCAAGGAGCATTGTGTCACACTCCATAAGACATATGACAGAACTTGGCAGCCTCCGCTCTATAACTGTGAACACACTAAGCAAACAGATCCAGCATCACCTAATATAAATTAGGCTATAAACTAAGAAATGGTACCAGTTTCCGTCTGCAGATTTATGAAAAGCACAAATATGCAACAAATGAAGAGACTAAACAATTGTTGAAGACCAGGGCAGAGATAAACAATTGTTGAACATTGGGGCAAAGATGGCTGTAGTATACGCATTGATGACAATTCAAGATTGAAAAAGTCAAGATCCCTCGTTTTCACAGTCATAAACCTACTACGAAATCGTATAATATGAGCAAATGCTACTTGGACCTTGAAACACAGTTCCTGAGTACTAAACTCCAAATTAGTTGAAAAAATATGACCAAAACCAAGAATAAACTATGCCAAGGGAAAGTGCAGACAAGCTAACACAGAAATTACCAAATAGAAGGAGTTTTTTTCCCCTTAATCCTGCAAATTTCTTCCATTACCTAAATGGCTAAATCCCAGTATATCAAACATCCAATATCGACACACAACACTAAGCATTTCTGTCGTCAGACAAAATAGAAATCAATAGCTCATCAAATAGAACCCTGAAATGGGCTAATGGCTATGTCATAATAAGTTGTTTAGCAAATCTAAAGATGAATTCGAACAATTTACCACATGATCAAACAAGCAACTCTAAAAATTAGTAGGCAGCACCTCCCATTTATCATTACAACAGTATGGTAACATCCTAACCACCAGATAAAACAATCATCTTCATCTATCAGGAGATGATTTATAACACCACCCGTCCACAGCAAAGGACGACACCAACATTGACGCGGAAAGGGAAGCTAAATATTAATATCCAACTACCATTTCTTCCTATGCAAATAGAAAAGGCCAGTCCTAATGAAACCCTTTCAGAGAGAGGTGTAGTACACAACTGCAAAAGCTGGTGTAACATCTAAATACGTAGTCTCCAAAGTCAAGTTGGTCCTACACAGTAAGGGTCGTTCCACAAATTAGCTGGATTAATGATTTTGTAGCATAGCCTTTCATCATTAGTAATAGAGGGTCAAATGCACAGAAGCCAAGTGTATCACCTGTAAAGACGCATAATTTAACGTCTTGTGCGATGCCCACCACCTGACCGAGCAGCAGGATTGCGAGCATATTGCAGCCTTAAGTTGACCGAATCACGGTCATGATCATCGAATTTATAACCTGCAAGATTGAGATTTACTATCTGAGACAGCACACATCATTGACGAATTAGGTACAGACGCACAAACATGTGATTTAGAGTTCAATGTCCCAAAATTGGCAGAGGATCACTTTCTAATAAAATTAACGCAGGCAACCAACCCATGAAATTTGCAACTCGAACTCACCAGATCATGCAAATCAAACCCTGGCAAAGCACAGACAGTACCTTGTGCAAATCTTTTTTACCTTTATGGAAGTCCAACTACTAGAAAAAAATGTTAACATGCAAGTCACTCAGATAAGCAAGAGAAGAAACTACAGAAAAGGTGAATAACTTGACCACTCTCTGCTTGTTTTGAGGCAAGAAAATGTGGAGACCTAATTTCTTTAATGGAGCCTAGTATAAGACAACGGCAACCATCAGACACAATGTATCAGATAGCTTTTTTTGACAGGTGATCCAGATCCAGACTCCGCTAAAATTTGTCTTTTTCTTTATAAAGTAAAGATTTCATTAAAGGGCATCCTTGGCTCTGAAATTAAGTTAGAGCCACAAAATACAAAAATTGAATTATATCATTTACATCACAAAAACCAACCAAATGATTTTGATGTCCTCGTTAAAGTTTGTAGGTCAGGTCTTGAGATGCAGCTGGAGGCTAAAAGTGGACAAACTACATAAACAATTCTGAAGCCCTTTTTTCTTGGATAAGCAAAAGTCACTTTTTAATTGTTGTAGCCTTTATTTTTACAGCCATCTTTGCAGGTTTCCCAAAAAGAGGGAAGGATATAGAACACTGCATATACTTTAAGCCTACAACGAAATCAGCCACAAGATTAATGTACCAATAGCAGGTGTGGAAAGCTCACCTTGTAAGGCATCCATTGCAGTAGCTGCGTGGGCTGGACTCACAAAATCAACAAAGCAAAGAACCAACGGATGGCCTCCTGGCTACATAAGTTGATGGGGCAGAATTCCTAAGAAAACATCATAATAGAACTACAACTAGGAAGAAATATATAGGTATGTTCTTACATGTCGTGAGTCTTTGATCACAAGTCTAACTTCTCTGTAACCTACAAATGGTCGAAATATATCTGCGAACTGAAGCTAAGGAAAGAAACGGTAAGAAAAGTAGTTAAATGGAGATCAGATTACAGAAGGATACGTGACATCTCTCTTCGGGTGCAATTAGCTGGCAACCCTTCAACAAACAATGTATTGCTAGCATTAGGAGGAAGAGGAATTTGTGGTCTAACACCTCCCATCCCAATGGTCCTGCTTTTAGCAGCAACTGCTTCTGATCCCATGATACCCATAACACGCGGATCATCAATAGGATGACTGGTTACTCCATTACCCATGGATCTCGCGGATTCACCACCAGCATAGGAGGAAGTTTGCTGATAAATTTTTTAACAATATGTTAGACTAACACATAGTCAAGGAAGCAAGCATAAAAAGAAATAAACACGCAAAGAGGTAAATATTAAGTACCCCACTTCGCAAGTATTGTTCATAGGATGCCTCAATAGGATCCGTATCCCTAATGGCATGATGCGTTCCTTGTTCACCATTGCGGCCATAATAACCAGGCATCTCAGGACGACTTGAAACATCTATGAATTGACAACATAAAATGATAGTATCCTTCTTGAAAAGAGATAATTGGCAATAACTTAGATAACACTCATAGTTTTGCTAGTAGAAGACACATACAAAGAAACAAGAGAGTGGTAACCTAAATTAGGCAAGATGATGTTCAAACATTGTCAGCATCAACAACAGAGAACAGAATGAAAGCCAAGTCTGCTACTTAGAGAAGATTTTTATCCAATTATCCTCTTAATAAAAAAAACAAAAAAATGTTCAAGGTTTAATAAACTGCTGACACTATTTTTCCCGCGACCATCCAATTTAGGCCGACAAATAACAAAAGATCACATTTTTTACTTGCTCCTCTAACTTCTGCGAAAGACATCCTTAAAGAAGCATTTTTTTTTTCAATTGCTATCCTAATATTTCCCTTTAAAGCACAAAAAAAATCCTCAAAAATAAATTTTTGACTGAGTAAAAGTAAAAACCCTAGCTTTTGTCAATTCCGAAGAGAACAACAGAGTAAAATAAATAGACAAATTTAATCATTTCAAAGAGTTTGAAGAGAATGGGAGTAGAAGTAGGTACCATACTCGGTCCGAGGGCGTTTTCCGGCGACCGGAGGAAGAGAAGCCGGCTGTATCCGGCCGTCGCTGACCCTCCAATAAGCATCCGCCATGTCACTCTGACAATAGTTAATTACCAACACCGAACTGAACTGCTTTAAGATCGAAGTAATAACCCAATGTTAAAGTACAGTAGTTCTTAAATGGTTCCGAAACTTAAATAATGGTATTTTGGTAAAAATTGTACGGGCGTCCTATTTGGTCGCCCTCATTTAACCTATACCTATTTTTTTTAAAACTTTTAACTTGTACCCAATTTTTAAATAACTTCAGCCCCATTTCTCCTTCTCCTCCTTCGTTTTCTTCTTCTTCTTTTTCTTCTCTTCTTCTTCTTTCTTCTGCTGCTGTTGGTGCTGCTATGAAATTTCAGTTCATGGAATGTTTGCAAGAGAGTTGTTTGAAGAGAAAAAAGGGAGAGAAGCATTGGAGCGAGTCTGCGAAGAACTTGCCAATCATATATCGTTGGATAGAGCAGAGATCAATCGATTGAGGAAAGAAACGGAAGAAGAGAGGAAAATGCTTAGAATGACTGAGGTTACGAGTCCAAATGAAGCTTAATGATGCTAAATTTTCATTGGAAGAGAAGTTATTAGAACTGGAAGAAACCAAGAAAATGTTGTCATCTAATGCCAAGACTGAAGCCAAAAATCAAGAAAACTTCAACCATAACATCTCACATGTGATCAAGGAACAGAGAAAAGGAGTGAAATAGCTGAAGTTCGCAAGTTACAAAATAAAAACTTCAGCTTTAGAGCTGAAGTTCGCCAGTTACAAAATAAAAACTTCAGCTCTAGAGCTGAAGTTCGCCAGTAACAAAACAAAAACTTCAGCTCTAAAGCTGAAGTTCGCCAGTTACAAAATAAAAACTTCAGCTCTAGAGCTGAACTTCAGGCCCGGCTACTAGAATGCTGAAGTTGCGTGATTGTCTTTGCTACTTCAGCCCCGTATGCTGAAGTTATGTGAAAAAGCAGGTACGGTTGCAATTTTTTTTTTACAAAGCGGGCACAAGTTAAAACGTGACACAAAAAACGGGTATAGATGCAAATGCCCCGGTATTTTGGACTCAAAATACCATTATACAGTTAAAAAAAAGTTATATTTGTAACTAAAATGCAGTATTATACTGCGTTTTAGTTTAACGAAAAGTTAGCCGTTAAAGTAAAACGCAGTATAATACTACGTTTACTAAAAACGCATTATAATACTATGTTTTACTGCAATTTGGGCCCACCAATATTCCTTATTCTTAGGATAACTGACAATATTTTTTTTAATGTAAAACGTAGTATTATACTATGTTTTACTAAAATATAGTATTATACTGAGTTCACATTAATTTTTGGGCCCACCAATAAGTGTTCTGCGGATAACTGACATAACAATAATTCAAATACATAAAGCGTGGTATTATACTGCGTTTTATATAAAAAAAATTATGCACCCTGTCACACCTCCTTTTTCCGCGCCCGGGGGGGCGCAGGGGTTTTTTTTTTCCAATTAAAGGACAATCGAAACGGGATTGGTTTAATTATTTCAGAGTCGCCACTTGGGAGATTTAGGGTGTCCCAAGTCACCAATTTTAATCCCGAATCGAGGAAATGAATGACTCTATATTACAGTCTGCGTACCAAAAATCTAGATAAGGAATTCTATTAACCCAGGAGAAGGTGTTAGGCATTCCCGAGTTCCGTGGTTCTAGCACGGTCGCTCAACTGTTATATTTGGCTTGATTATCTGATTTTAAATACAATATGAACTTATGTGCAAATTTTATCTTTTAACCGCTTTATTATTATTGTTTTTACAAGAATGTGAACGTCGCTTAAAACATATGTCTTTGGACTGCGTCACATGAAATGCGCCCACAATCCGGAACATATTTGATTTGACGTTTTGGGCTTTGGATTTGGGTCGCATGAAATGCGCACCCAGGTTTAAGAAAGTAAATTATTAAACACGCGCCTAAAGAGACTATCGCGTTATTATTTTGCGGAGGCCGTGAAATTCGCTAAACGACCCTCCTGAATTCTAAGTAATTTTAAACAAGTATTTACTGAGGGCCCCGTAATTTGGGTTTTTATTCGGCGAGGCTCATCTCATTCTTATTTTTTTTTAAAAAAGGAATTTGCAACGTCATGGACATGCATCTCGGGCCACGTCACAATCAATGTGCCCGTGACTAGAGACATATTTCGACTCCGTTGAGATTTGGATTTGGGTCACATAAATGTGCACCCGAGTTTAGGGAGAT